TATATATGTATTTATTTATTTATTGGTCCTTTTATTTTACGACAAGTATATGCGCTATGAGACTCACAAGGAGTGTCCAGAACTCCTGATTAGCTGTCAGATTGCCCAGCTTCAGTGCAGCGGCAGCAGCCGCTAGCGGCAGCATCGGCCACTGAATGAATTTGTAAGGAAAGCGGCAGGTAGCTGACAGGCAGAGCCGCAGCAGCAAGATGGTGTACGTGGAGCAGATTGCAGTGTACACAAGGTAAGGGTTCAGAACCGGCCGCCACACCAGACCTGCGCGACAACAAAACTAAACAAACACGAACCTACACTGAACTCGCTTCAGCAAGTGTATTTGTCCGGCGGATGGCAGCAACAACAGTAATATATGCAATGCCATGAAGAGCATACACTCAAACAATACCAATGTGTTGCTCACAATGCATGTATACAGTCCCCTGGAGGAAGATGTAGACCAAGAACACCACCACTTGCGTGAGGGCCACGAATGGTTGCCGTGCGCGCCGTACCCCCATAACGATATTCAAAGTGCAGAGGATAGAGTTGCTGCGAAAACAGATGCAGCAGAGCACAACAGGTCTGCTTTCCGTCTTATTGTTTCCGGTGAAAGATGTATAGAGCTGGTTATGCATGCACAGCTGCGCGTCACCAGGACACAGTAAAGACTCACCAAACCAGCAGCATCAGCTGAAACACAACGCTCGCCGTAATACTCAATCCAGCGGCTCCTGCAAGCTTCGCCAGTGGTATCCTGCACATATCGTCACCGCAGACCTACTGGTGAGTAAGTCATTGCAAGGAGTAAAAGTAATGATTGAAGTGTCTATACACCCCAGATGCTTAGCCTACCACCTAAACTGAATGTTGCAACGCACCCTATTGACGTCGGCAGATACTGAAGAAGATCCACATGAAACATCTCCGGACCAAACGTCCCGCCCAAGACGGCGAGGAACATGACCTGTTGCGTGGCACACAAGACGAAGCCTTAAAACAACTGGGCTCCCGAAAACATTCACAACA